GAAACACATTTATATTGTTATTCAACCGCATATTGCAATTGCTATCCTCTAAGTGTGATATGCAGTTTATTATAATTTAGCACATTGCTGGAACACCATGTTAACTCAAAATCCTGTAAAATTTCAAATTACTTAAATAAGCAAACATTGTATTAAGCATTAAACCCTCTGCATGAGGAGTACCTAGAAAAACTGGCCAGAGGTGTCTGACATGAAGTTAAGTGTGTGCAGCTGCACCAGTCCGTAATCCGACTTGAACACATACTCAGGCTCAGAAATGCTCTTGGCCATATTTAATTAGACACAGCTAGCAAAGAGTTTCTCCTGTTCTAACCAGTCATCTCCTGCTTGCCCTATCCACTCTTAACATATCTGAACCAAAACACCAGGAAAGACCAGAAGTAAAATTCAGGTAACTTCATATCTATCAGAATCATATCCTTCAGTTCTTATCTATTTTCTTCTGCCATAGAGTCCCTTGTGGTCCCTGTTCCTCAGCTTGCTGGGAATGCAAAGACGTGGCAGGCTGCGAATGGTACCATCAAGCCTTGTCTTCTTATTTGTGTAGGTAGGCATCAAGCCAGAGCTCTCCTGAATTCTTCAGAGAGCTGAGAGAGAGAAAGAGAGTACAAGAGGCCACATTATGCAGGGTTGCTTAGGGGAGTGTTGGTGGGGACAAGGGAAATGAGGGTTTGTGTGTGTTGATTTGTAAGAGAAGAACAAACCAACTCTTGTTCTTAGGCTTCCAGTCTCTCCTACATCCTTCTGCAATGTTTTGCCATTGTGTGTTGTTACTTACTGCACGATGTCTGCAAAAGCCGTGAGCAACGGCTTACATTGGTACTCAATGCCGTGTTTGGCACACAAGGACTTCACCAGTGGAGCCACCTTCCAGTAGTTGTGTCTTGGCATTGTGGGGAATAGGCTGTGAACAGGAGACAGACAAATTCGCTTCCAGTGCCCCATAAGAAATATTATCTTTCATATGTTCACATTCATTATTACTTCCCAGGAATCACACAGCTCACACAAAGTAGGGCCTTTAGCTGCTCCTGGCTTTTCTTTCCCCTTGGTGAGCTTTTAGCACAAGTAACTCCTAAGACTTTCCTGCTTTCCCCCTCTGTTATTTTCCATAGTTGTCTCTAGCATCTCTGAAGTGGCATTTCTCCAAATTAAGTGATGCCATAAACTGGAAGAATCTACTTTCCCTTCTCCCCTTTCTCCAGAAGTAACTGTCTCCATAGCACAGAAAAGAAGATGAGCCCATCCTCCAGTCGCATATCTCAGTCTCTGGAGTAATAGTGTAAGTAGTCAGTAGAGACAGGCTTAAACTACTATGTCAGACTATAAACAGGGGGCCTTAGCATGTACATTTTCACCAATGCTTACGAGCTACTACTTGGATAGGCCCTGTTGCTGTCTGTAAGGTTTCACAGATCCTGCCCATGTTCAATTTTCGCTAGTCATTCTCACCTTCCTGCGAGTCCAGTGAAGGTTTTGAATTACATTATGATTCTCTTTAGGGTTTTCAGTCTTTTTAAAGACAAACTCATTGGTGCCTCACAACTATTTGTAGAATTCAGAGCAAAGAAGAATAGGGAAAAGAAAAAAAAAAAAAGAAGAGAAGAAAAAAAATAAAAAAAAAGGGAAGAAAATTCTCTCTCGGGGTGTCTACTCACTGATGTTCAATCTGGAAATTCAGATGCCCGGTAAACCAGTCATTGAACAGAGACTGCTCAACATTGCACGTTGCCTGGAGCTAGAGGAGGGGAAAGGAAAGTAAAATCAGTACAGATTGGTGACTGCAGCCTTTCCCATTTGTCTAAAGAGCACAGTACGCTGTGCTACTCTGTTCTATTGTTTTCTTTTAGCCTAAGCTGAGCTACCTCAAGCCAGGGATTATAATCCTCCTTCAGCTTTGTGGACCAGCAGAGGTACGTAGACTGGCTAACATGGACCATTGTAAAACCAGGAGTTGGCTCTGTGCTCCTGCGAATGCATGTGAACAGACAGTCAAAAGTTCCTCGTGGGTCTTCTCAGACCTATGTCTGCAGAAAAAGCAGAGATGGCAGGGTACTTCTGTGATGGTCAGACTTTACTGCTGGACTCCAAGAAGTCTCTCTGCAAAGAGGGGACACCACACTGGCATTCTACTAGTGCAAAATTGCTCAGCAAGAGCAGGACACAAACTTCCATCTCTGCATAAGTGGAAAAGGTCCAAGACAGAATGATGCAAAAAGTGGGGAGGTGGGTATGTTTAGGAAACAGAGCTGGGACCTAGCTTTGATTTTAGATTGCCCATGAATGTGTCATTGCTGTCCTCCTTTACTGTTACCATAATTGAATCCCGTTACCCTATTAACCTTCACTTCCCAGTTACCAACAGGTTTTCACCCTTAATGCAATAGAGGACTTGCTCGTCTTATGGTTGGAATTTGTACCTGTATGGCCACAATTCTTAAGAATGAAAAATATTTTACCTGAGTAGACACCCAGTCCAAATTGTTGTCATAGTAAATATCCATAGGGATATGGTTCATCTGTGAAACCCAGACAAACCAGCTGCTCTCCAACATCCTGTGCAACCAGACAAGAGGCCAGAATTCAGTAACAGGTAAGCAAGTCAATGATGAGCCATTGAAATAACAGCATAGCCAGACTTACAAACACATGGCTGAACACCAGCCTCGCTAATCCAGCACCTGGAAGAACTTCCGAAACCTGGAAGTTTCATACTTAATCCATACTTAATCATACTCATGATTACTTAATATGTTTTGTAATGAAACTGATGTAGCCAGTTATTCGTCTTGTTTTACCTGTAGCCAAGGACCAAACTGATTAGAATCAGTAAAATGATCCAAGTGGAGAGCGTATCGTCCATTCAGGTCAATGCTGCTGGATAACGCCTGAGCATTTGCAAGCCCAGGCTAAGCTGTTTCTGTTAAATGTTCTCTTTCTCTGATCACTAGCAGACCCAACACCCAAAGCACTGAATATTACATAAGGTAAGTATTTCTTGATTTGGTCAGCACTCAGTGAAGTCTCTTTGCTGCCAGAGCCAATGAGGCAACATAAAATTTCAACTAGCAATTAAGCAGAAGAGTCTTAGTTTAACTTTACGGAATTAAAAAACTAAGCAAAAAATGAGATGGTCAAGGAGAATGTGGATAGATAAGCAAAGGCAGAGAAAGGCAGGCAAGCAGAGATGGAAGGAATATGTCGAGGAAGGCTGAATAACCTTCTAAAAAGATATCACCTGAATATAAAATAATATGCCAGGAGACTCTTTATTTCTAATAATGATCCATAAGTAAAAAAGAATCTGATATAGAAGGTCAGCATCCAGGTCAAGTCCTACCAAAACCAGAGACAACAAGAAAAGAAAATCATTATAAGTTACATTTGCTTAAATCTTTTTCTAAGCTTCATGTTATACGTACAAGAGAAAAATCTACATTCAGCTTTTATAGGTTTTTGCTGAATTGAATCATCTGGAGCAATCCATGTTAACAGAAGTTAATAATACTTTCTTTTGACAGCTTGCTATAATAGAGATGGATCTGAGCATTCACGCCTAGTAAGTAGATTAATATATTAACAAATGACTATGCATTCAGAAACATGAGTTGAAGACTTGTATCAAATCATTGCCCAGGACTCCACAGTGAACTAAGTGCTAGACCGACGATCTCATTCTACCTGGAAGTTGCTCTGTCCTCCTGTATGCATAACACATGCAAGAGAAGGAAGAATGAAGCATTAATTCTGGCTGCCTGGCATAGGAAGTAATGCCAAGTATATGCATACTGCTAACAAATCAACGACAACAGTTCCTATAAATCCACATCCTCCCGTTGCCGACCACTACGGACCTTCCAATTTGCTTCCCAAACCAAAGGAGACAGTACACTTTGTGGTTCTGCAAATGAGGCAAAGCAGTACAAGCCAAACAGCCTGTTGCTTGTTTTCGGCCTTTATCATCGAGCTGGGGAACATGATGGGTTTAGCAGAAAGTATGCACAGCCACTGAAAACACTGCACCAAGCTGACTGTCATAGTAGGCTTAACTGCATGGCATACAGCGTCACACAGCAGGGACTGAGCTCTGGACAGAAGCTGGCTCCATGTTCAGAAGAAAGGTTGAAGGCCCACAACTGACCCCTTCTTAGTTGCACAAGTAGCAATACTTACCACCCAGTACCTTTTTGTGTATGCAATATAAAACGTGTGGCAGTGGAAGTAGGTGGGAAACAGGAGCGGAGGAAGAGCTGTAAGGGAGAATTCATTATCAGTGGTAATGTCATGGACTGAATGACAGATAATCAAACTGGAAGCGAAGGATCCCTGAACAGCTACTCAATATGGAGAATATTCTGAGAAGTTTTAGGGCTGCAGAATTTTCTGGATGATATCAGTATGCAACAAAGCAGACAAACAGTAAGCAACCTGGGAGCCTGCTGACCTCAAGAGGTAAAACAAAGGTAAGACAAGAAGCTCTCTGAAGCTTGATTGAGGACCAACTTAATAATCCTTTTGAGTGCCACAGTATGCACTTTGCAAGAAAGCAACCGACTGATACTGGTTAGGATGCTATACAGGGCTCTGAGCAACCTGATCTATTTGAAGATATCCCTGCTCATTGCAGGGGGGTTGGACTAGATGATCTTTAGAGATCCCTTCCAACCCAAACTACTCTATGATTCTATGATTAGTGCCTCTAAACATTTCTAGGTCTGTCCATTAATCTGATAGTACTTACAAACCCGAGATTTTATTTTAGGCTTCTAACTGAGGAACAGCCACAGAGTAGTATTTCGAGAAGTGGCTTCCACAGCCCCAAAGCTTATCTGGCTCTCCATTCAGTTGTTCAAAGCAGAGGAACATATAAAATCCTTTGCCTACCAGGGATTTTGGGTTGCAAGAACTCAACCTTCCAAATGGACATCTCACTTGTACTTAAAAAACAAAACAACAAAAAAACCCCACGGACTATTATTTAAATTTGAATACTACTGAAAGATGTAGTATGACATTGTACCTTAGAGCCACTGTGGAGGACGTGGAAGATCTGGGATAGGATCACCTTCCTTAACTTGGCATCTCAGAGTTGCATATCTGAGATATGCACATCTGAACTAACCCTGCTAGCTCTGTCTAGCCACTTGAGAGAAGAGCCACTGCTGGAGCGCAGTTCCTGCCATCTTCAGAGGTCAAGGGAAAAAATAGGTCAAATGAATCACACCTTGAAAGTGCCCATTTATGCTGGGTTTTAGAGTTCAATTCATACTGCCCACTTTTTAGGCAAGCATCCTAAGCAGCAGACTTCAAACTATTCCGGAGAGATGCAAGAGGTGATATCTCTTTGTCCCGTGTTGAAATTGTGCTGCTTTGCAAAAGGAATAAAGCTTCGCTAAGATGGGAAGAAGGGGGCAGGAGGGAGCCTAGAGATCAGGGTACTGACAGTGGAGGAATTCTGAATTTCTCTTCTGCTCTGTTTATGCACTTTATTAGCCATACATTATACAGCTCACATAAACAGTCCTGGAGCCTTCATCTCACTCTCCCAACTTCCTTAATTAGCGAGTTAAGAGTCTTTCTCCTTTTCTCTGTGCAAATAGATGTAGACTTATTTTTGCAAAGCAGTACAGTTTTAAGAAGACCTGGGATAAGTGTACCCCACTACTTTTTCTACCCTGGAACAAACTTAAACCATTTGGTTAGAAATTCGAAAACCAAATTAACGTGTTTCAAGTCAAGAAGGACACAGAAACCTGATCTCACATAGGATCATGATAATTCAGGCTGGAAAGGACCTCAGGATCTCAGAGCAGCATCAGCTCTGAGGTCAGACCAGGTTACTCGGGGTTTTATCCAGTCAGGTCTTCAACTCCTCCAAAACCTAGATGCAAACTGATTACTGTGTTCTTTAAGGCAGGCACCTTAGTTCTGCTCAAGTCCTACAGGTCAAAAGTAAGATCTACAAGCCCCATTAGTACCCCTCATGGTATTGCAGGAGAACGGAGATACTCACTGATGAAGAAGTATTTGTGTTGGTGATTGTATGGCATGTATTTTTTCTTTTTGATCCCAAGCTGTGAAAAGAAACAGCAAAAAAAAAATACTGAGTGGAAACTAAGCAATCTGCACAGGTAACTTGCTGATTTCCATTCTTTCCTCCCCAGAGGCACTCTTCTTGCACACTTCCCACAACCTTCATTCCTACTGTCTCGCTCTTGTGTACCTGTCCTGTTAGTTTACATACATAATATATCTTTTCTGTAATCCTCATTCCATTAATATAAGGCTTTAATGCCTTACAGCTTTGTAAAGTCCTTCAGAGATAAACCGTTAAGCAAGCATGAGATTTTTCTCCAGTAATGGAAAATAAATTAAATACGTGATTGCTGAAAAGTAGTTCTAGATATACTTATGACAAGCCAAAACAGAGGTAACAGCCCATAAGAAAAACCTACTTTGGTATATGGTAGGAAGGAAACTGCTGTCACAGATACCACCATTGTCTGGGTTGGAACAGAATGATGTAGTAAAAACTACACCAGAACATTTCCTCCATTAAAAGATGGTGTGATCCGAAAGTTATGATAAAAATAATTTTGAGGGTTGATAGAGGTGAATTTTAACTGGTGAATTTCCTTGGTTTTGTGTTCTTACCACATGCATAATTAATTTGGTGAAATGTTAGATATTTCAAGGCTAAGTTCTATTATCGGTCAAAAATAGTCATATGTCTTTTCTCTCTCCTCTGATTCTGTACACTTAAATGACAGTTTCATGATGGTAAAGGTCTTCCAAGGAGAAAAATATTTCACTGCTCTAGCTACTCTGACAGGGTCTCAAGAACTGGTGAACTTGTACAACTAAAGGGGTTCAGCATCGTCTTAGGTTGTTGCTCCTGGAAGTGGCCTAGCAGTACAAGCTGAGAACATCCTATGTGGTCAAATGACTTCTGCCTACTAGAGGGACCTGCCAACAGCCAGTCCTACAGAGCTACAGGAACAGCCCTGGGTTATTCAGTCCTGCCGTGCTGGCTGCCTTTCACAGCAAGGCTTCTGCTGTCTCCTAGAAGGCATAGACATGCCAAAGCCACCTGTATCTCTGAGCCTTAGACATTAATATTAAAGTAATAATCCCAGGCCAACTGCAGACACGCTTTATATTAATGTTTACAAGTTACCTAATAATCATTAATTACTGAGTTGTTCTACTAGGTCATTAAGCTGCTATAATCATTAATAATCTTTTTGGTGATGGATTTTCCACCCTATATATGATGCACATACACCACGTCTAATTTATTTACAACTACTTGTCAGCTGTTCATGAAATTTTTAAAGGAATTTAACGTGAACTGTGACCTGCTTACAAAGGCTGAAGAAAGTAGACACAGATGAAAGCAGTCTTTTTTTCAGAAACTGTCATCACATCTTAGTTTTAGATCTTTATGGTACAACGTGCTTTTTGTTGACCAGGGTGTTCTTCCCAGTTCCTGGTACACGAGCGCGTGCACACACTGACCTCCACAGAGAATTTCTTCCCCAGAGTAAACAAGAAAGGGTGCATATCAATATCGGGATCTTTCTGGAAGCAGTTGGGTTTGGCATGGTGCCGGGAGTGCAGAAGAGTCCACCATTTGGCTGATGCCCCCTGTTTTAGTGAAGAACAAAGTATGAAAAGTATAATGCTTTCAGAGCCAGATTCTCTCCAATTCCCCTCCTTCGCCCAATGCTGAACACGCTATCCTCCACAGAGTCTTCAGAACACATTCTTTTACAGGAAAGCCATCAAATCTAAGAAGTTTTTCCAGGGTCAAGTACTTACAATCAAATGGCACATCACAAACTTATGCAGCAAGTGGTTCCACTTGGTCTTTCTGAATACTGAAAGATGTCCTAAATCATGTTGTAACCATGAAGCCTGGACCTGGAAGAGGAAAAAGAAAATATTTGGGGGAGGGGGCGAAGAGAAATCGAGACCAGGATAATGCCACACCCATCCTTTGCTTTGAAATATCAAGATTTATTTCTTGGACAGTGCTCCAAAGTCACAATCAGAAAGGAACTATGAAATCCTGATACTCTTGAGGCTGAATATATCTATTCAGCCTAGAATATATCTTGCTGAAAGAATCCCAGACTAGGCTTAGTGGGAGCTCCCCACATGCAGAATTTCTTCTTTACATCTTCTGTAAACACATGCCGTATAGTGGTTGTCTTCTAATGACAAAGGAGAACTGTGCCAAGTAAGGAAATGGAGGACTACAGAACTGCAATAGTATTACGCGTATGAAAGTTGATGCAAGTCCACGTGTACATGCTGTGGACTTAGTTGCTTACCTGGGAAATGGTCAGCACCACCAGAGAGACAATAAAGGGCACTAAGGATGTCCCAAAGTAGAAGAGAATGAGCCAAGCAGCAGTATCCAACAGGAGGATGTGAGCGAGGTGCAGGAAGAAGAAGAGTTGATTTGGCTTCAGAAGTCCCATTTTCTCAACAGCAGCACGCAATTCACGGAAGTCTTTCACCAGCATTTTCTGTGGGAAGCACCAGTGTTACATGTTCCCTGTTTCTAGAGCATAGCACTGCAGCCTCAAAAGCCAAGGACCACTTTAATCAAGGAAAGAAAGAGCAAAGGATCTGGCCAAATGGGCAAGAGCCGGGCTTGCACACTGGTAAACTTTATCATTGCTCTCCTACAGCTTCTCTGTGTCTTTGCCTGGTAAGGTACAGAGAGCAGAGGAGCAAGCAGCAGCTATCACAGAGCACAATGTCTGTACCCCCAGCCCCTAAGCCTATATCTTCGGTGCTTCTTCCATCATCTTCTTGGCAGGTAGCATAGGGCTCAGATGGAAGTTATGTCTAGTGGAAGGTGTAATGTATGTGCATGAACATAGCATGCCATCTTGTGGTAGGCCTTTAGGATGAAATTATTCCTCTTCTGTCAGTTCCAATAGATCAATATATGTTTTCACTTTACCCTTCCCAAGATTAACGGGGAGGATTAAGTGCCTGTATGAAAACAGCACCTACAGCCCAGCTGGCCTCAGGCTGGTGGGCACTGAGGAAGGAGGATGGAAGAAGAAATAAGCACCGCAGAGATGCAAGACCAACCCACCTTTGGCTTTGCCAGTTCCACAGATGCCTCCCAAGCCTTATTCCTGTCTCCACGTAACCCAAACCACAAAGAAGCTTGCCAGCCTACTTTCCCAATCATTTGGGGGAAATGGAGTTTGTGTGGAGCAAGGCACATGCAGGCTCTGGTGCAGGCCTGCTACGGAACTGAGAAATAGGCAAGGCGTGGCCACAGATGGGTAAGAGGGTTCATGAGGTTCCCACCTACATAGGAAGTGTGGCCATGCCATTCTGGGACAGCCAGACTGCTCTGAATTGTGTTTCTAATGCCTGAGTTACACGGGGCCATGTATCATCTTGCCCCCCTTCAGCATGCAGTGTGGGACTATGCAAAGGAAGAGTCAGGGCAGGCTAGAAGGAATGGGGAAAACTGATAGCCTTGGATGGTAGGAAGCAATGACGACCGTACAGCCCAGGGAATATTTGTACTTCAAGGCTATTCCTATTCTGTTGTCTGTGCCTCTCTCATGAGATTTTCTTTGACATACCAGATTGGTTACTCTCACAGTGCCATCAGCAGTGCTTCTGTGAATGATCATTCTGTGAATGACCTTGAGACTGCTGCAAGAAGGCTGTCCAAAAGGGCAATGCCAATACAGCCTGTGAAACTTAATTCAAGGCTAAAACACTCTACCTGCAATCTCTTCCTACAGACACCTACAAGAGAAGGGAGTACGGTCTGAAAATTTACTATCAGCTGGAAAGAATTACTTAATTTTTGGTTAGCTCTTTCTCAAAGCAAGGGAAAGAAGAAAAGGTGATAGCTGCGATATTCATGAGAGCAAAACAAGGCTCTACTATTTATGTAGAGTTGCTGTGATAAGAAAAATTCATCCTCAGGAATCTCATTCTCAACCACATAATGTGGATTTAGACTAATATTCATGTATTGTTTCTAAGTAGCAGCACAAAGATTTGTGGAGAACCTGGATCCCATTGTTCCAGGAGCTACGCTGATACAGAAGAACATGGTCTAATCTCAGAATATTTCCCTTTAATCTATCTTTGATCTGATTTACGAGGATAGACTTACATTTTTAGTGGGCTCAATACTGGGTTGATCTGGTGCCAGCTCCCCGATCTGCAGTGACTTCAAGTACTTGCTCACCAGCACCTTGTCAACATGGAATGCTTCAAAGGCATCCTGCAAATGCACGAGAGTAAAGGAAGAGGTAAGAAAAACAAATACTATGGTACTAACCTCCATCTGCTGTGCACAGTAAGACATTCACTGTGGAGGAGCCACAATGGCAAAGATAGCTGGTTTACCTTTCTATCTCCTCAACATTTGTTGACCTTTTTCTTCCCGTGTTTGTCCTATGCTCTTAAATGAGATCTTCTTTCAGCTGGCAAATGGAAGAGATCTGACTTCCACTACTGTAATTACTACAGGTATGCAAGCTCCATAATACAAAATTGAATGAATCTCCATTGTATGCCTAAAGCAGAGTCTAGTTCCCTTGCCTTTCTTCTTCCCCCTCTTCTCAACCCCAATATTAGCGATTTTTCCATCTTCCTGGACAGCCAGGTGCCCAAAAGACCTTTCTTATCAGCAGACCAGAATCTTCTTTGTTGTGCAATTTGTCAAAAGAGAAAATTGCCCTTTAAATCCGACTGCTTAAAAGAAAAATGTGGTTCCTCTTATTCACTAGGTAGAGAACCGCACTCCCAAATTAACTAAGACAGGAAGCGTTTCATCAAGGACCAAGTGATACCAGAGAACTTTCTATTTTCCTCTAGTACTTGGAAGTATTCAGAAGGAAATGACTGCAAGGACAAAATTCATAAGCACAGGCCTGGTGTTACTGACCTCTCAAAGATACGAGCATGAAGAAGCAGTGGTGTGATAGCCTCTAGGCAAGGCTGGGGACAGAAAGGAGAGGATGCAGAAAGGCAGAGGAGAAGACAACTGCATTGACAGAGCACGAAGGGGGCAGCTGGAGCCCTGAAGCACAGCTGAGACCGAGCTGAGCTGTGAATTCAGTCTGTAGGAAAGGAACTTCCCCTGAAGATTCTCCAACCATGGAAAATTGCTTTTGTACATGCATGCCTTCAACTTATTGATCTGCTTGCATGCCTGCTTTTGCGCCACCTTTCATCCGATTCCATTTAGTCATCCCAAACAGACCAGAATCAGTGCTTTACTGCATTCCAGCCCCAGAGTTACTCTGGGCAAGTGTTTATTAAGAACGGTTGTGTGACAAAATGAAGTCGTTTAGCTAATCTCTTTGAGCAAACTGCCACAGACTTTCTGTCCTCTACTCCAAAATGACATAGGTTTGGGCAACTGCGTGACTAACACTGAGGCATATATGTAACATGCGGTGGGTTTAAATACCATGCACGTAATCGCTATCACCAACGAATCCAAAAACCAGCAGGCAGTTTCTCTGCAAAATAATCTACTGCAAGTACCTGGTGATTTCATGATGTTGCAACACCAAATGTATTTACGGTCTCCAAAATTCAACCAAATTTTGCCAAATTCACCCAAAAATTCCAGTCTCAAGATTGTTGCTCCTGTTTTCTAAGTCACTTCATTCCTTAACTCTGCTCTTCTATCCTTTGTGAGAAAACACCACAACAAAAAGCAGCAATAAAAGGACTCCTCTTCACAGTTTTGTGCAGTGTCCCCCTTACTAATATTGTGGCATTAATTATACTCATTTTTCCATTCTTTGGGTTTCTTTTCTTACTGAGAGCCTTCCATATTTTTCATTCTCTCCTAAGTTATCATCTTTCAAGGCTATATGCTCTTGGTACAATCTTCCAGTCAAACTGAGATAATTTTTTAATTTTTCATGCTATACATCCAAAAGATTAAGCAATTGACCTATTCCAAGATGCACAGGCCTCACTAAAGTCTTATGGATTTTCTTAATAAATGCTTCTTTCACTTCTTTTTGTCTCTGCCTCCCAGACTAACTAAAAAGCCTATTGAATTCACACTGTCTCACAAAACTGCTCTTAGTAACGAAGAGGAGTTTCTTACTTCACCTACAGCGTCCTGGATATATTCCCACTGCAACTCAGTGTGGATATAACCACATTTGCTCTAAACAAGATAGTTCACACATAATCAGGCTACACGGGAGAGCACAGAAGGCCACACACACTAATCTACCCTGCTTCTGTTAGGGGCTGCCTAGTGCCAGCATGGCTTTCTCTGTACTGTGTTACACGAACCTATAGCAAATATTCCACCTTTTACTCTCTTCCACAGGTTTTGCTGAGGCCAAGATGCACAGCTTGCAAGTGTGCAGAGTTCAAGCAGGGCAAGATACTCCAGTATCACATGTATCAATTTGCCTTGGAATAAATACGTATTCTGAATATCGTGCCTTGTCAAAAGTGATGATCCTGCTGTTCTCCAAAAGTGTCGAGTTGATGAAGATTTATGTGTCTTCAGCATCTCTGGAGCAAAGTAAAACCCTTTCCTATTAATTTCACTTACAGCCCTTGAGCTGGAGTTTTATCATATATGCTTAAAAAGAGAGAGGGGAAAATAACCAGGCATTTTTCCATTATGGTGCACAGCTTATTTAACGTGCTTCACACTTGTGTGTGAAGACAGTTAAGCTGGTGTCACGTAAAACTGTCTGAAGTCTTGCAAGGCTTAATGGTTTGGACATGGAACCAACCTATAAGAACCAGCTCAGATCCCAGAAGCAAAACATCTGGGTTTTCCAGGTTCATCCATTGTCTGGGGTATTCCAGCATCCTAAAATGAAAGAAACCTGACAGTACTAACTAGAGCAAATGAATGATGGAAAATACGGAATGCAAAGTGTAGCTAATACAGAATTTGAAATATAAACTTAGTGGACTGAAAATTATTTTTATTTCCACGAGCCTCAAATACCCCTTATATATGGAAGATCAGGGAACTATTTGCCTTGGGTTTTTTTCTTTCAAAACACACAGCAAGGAAGCAATCACATTTGTCACATCTTTGTATAGATGTTAATTTACCGCTATTTTCTACCCTTCCTGCACATACCAGGAGGCAGGAACTCCAAAGAATTTGCTGAACGTTTTGGTGTGTGTTTTACCACAGGTTTCCATGGCATTAAACCAGCAGTCAGACAAGGCAACATGGTGAGCGGGTCTTTTTGCCCACACACTAACTCGCCAGCAGCTGGACACTTGTCAGCTGGCTGAGTCTTTCAATTTTGTTCATCTCAAGGGCCTGAAGGACCATATGCAATAACTACAGAAACTTTTCTGGAAGACCACTTGGGAAAGCATGCTGGCTTTGCTTTCCCTCCAAGTTATGCCGGGTGGCATTGAGGAGGGATACTTTTCTGTCCTGGTTTCGGCAGGGACAGAGTTAATTTCCTTCCTAGTAGCTGGTCCAGTGCTGTGTTTTGGATTTAGGGTGAGAACAATGTTGATAACACACCGGTGTTTTAGTTGTTGCTAAGTAGTGTTTACACTAGTCAAGGACTTTTCAGTTTCTCGGCTCTACCGACTGAGAAGGCTGGAGGTGCACAAGAGGCTGGGAGGGGGCACAGCCAGGACAGCTGACCCCAACT